GTCCTGCATTGAATATGTTGGTGTGCAACTTTGTTAAGGACGCCAAATCACATGTATGAGTCACCGTCTGTACTCTGAGGCTAAAACCGAGTTTCTCCCGCAGGTGCTGCAGGGCGGCGGCCTGGAGTCCCCGACCAAGCCCAAAGGTCGCCCTAAGAAGAACTCCATCCCCAGCAGCGAGCAGCTCTCTGAGCAGGAGCGATCCACCGCAGAGGCTGACCGGCCCGATGGCTCCAGCTCCCACTTAGAGAACGCTCAGGAGGAATGACCAGCCTCTTTATCTATGAACCTGTGGGACGCTCAGAGTGCCTGAAAAAAGGGGGATTTTTTTGCTGGACCGTACGGCCACCTGGTGCAAAAAAAGAAAAGAAAAAAAGAAAAAGAAAAAAAAGCCCTACAGAAACCTAACGTGCACGAGGCGACATCCTCCAGCAGCCCGGCGTTTTTGTGGCATTCCCTCGTGATGCTGCTGTTGAGGAGGGGACTCAAATATGTGCAGTAGGTCTAACTCTTTATATTCTACGGATCAGCTCTCACTTATCTGTCCTGCATTCCCTTTGTGTAACTTTGCATTTGATTAATTATTAAATATATTTTCACTAAGGCTCTTCTCCGTTTATTGCAAAGGGGGCATGGTTAAAGATAAGCGTGTCGTCACCGGCCCCGCGCGGCCCTGTTCACACGCGCCTAACATGGATACATATCTGCACATTCAGACAAGTTCGCAGCGATTCACCAGGCTCCAGATAACAGAGACACGGGGGCGTAAAGGCGCTCAGGTTTAGGACTAGTTGCTCTTGACCTGCGTGTCCTGCTGTGGTAATGTCATGATTCCATGTAGCAGCACTGGCGCTTCTCTTTCTTAATCGAAATAAAAATATGGATTTATTTAATGAGGAGTTTTTGGGGGGTGAGAATACAAAATAGGTCTCCTTTCACATGAAGCGTACCAGGGCCATTTAGGTGAATGCGAATGTAGGAAAATATGTTACAGTATCGTTAGCTTGAATTTATCGTGAACATGTTAATCAGAATATATAAAAGGTAATAACTTGACAGATCTGGACTGCACAGGAAGAACCACTGCGAAATAATAATAACAACAATAATAATTGTAATAATTGTAATAATTATAATAATAATGAAAACCTGAGGTGAGAAGATTATTTCTTTAGCTTGTTATTAAAGGTCAGCCATGAGTTATAGTATATATATAATATATATATATATATATATATACATACATATATATATATATATTATATATATATATATATATATATATATATATATATATATATATATATATATATATATATATAGATAGATAGATATAGATATAGATATATATATATAGATATATAGATATATATAGATATATATATAGATAGATAGATAGATAGATAGATAGATAGATAGATAGATAGATAGATAGATAGATAGATAGATAGATAGATAGATAGATAGATGAGGATAGCTTTCATTAAAAAGCTATCCTGCTGAACACATTATTACTTTAACGCGTAGCTGATCGGCGAACTATTTCGAATACGTTTTTCTTCTTTTCTTCTTTGTTGTGTTGCTGTCACGTCGGGGGCCTAATCCCGTATTTTCTAAATGTTCATTAAATTAAATTAAATGTTCATTAAAGCCATACATTTCTATGCATTTCTAGCTTTTTCAGCTGATCAACTTGAGAAAAACAAACGCTGAATTGCGTCTTTAATAAAAATAAATGGTGAGTTGGAATTGAGAATTCCGCCGGAAATTCGTCGGGCTCCTCGCATTAAACACTCTCAGGCATCGGTGCATCATCACAAACGCGGGCTCTCTCATCACTCTCATCATTAGAACTGTGGAGTCTCAAAGCTTCACTGCCTCTAAATACAAATGCTACTTGAGTATAAAAAACAGTATTTTCATATTATTATTAATAATAAATCAGGTTCAATTTTTTTACTCAAAGTTATAGTTCAAAGGTTTCCTAAATAGAAAAAAGTCTAATTTAAAATGCAAAGCAAATGTGGAAAACAGCACAACAGGCACATTTAAGTAATACTATTAGCTGGGTGGTTAGCTAAAAGTAATCAGTGTAAAATAACAGCTGTAGGTAAAAGTAATGGATAAAGAAACAAAGAAGAGTGGTAGAAATGTGGCCTAGCTGAAATAGCTAAGCAAATAGAAATAACAAACATTACTGGTTTAGGAGTTAAATATATAAATCCTACAGCAAGCTTATATCTTTGTATCTATATCCATATCTATATATCTGCATAAATAATTGTAACTTCTTTTGCACCATAAACAGTGGATATTTAATGATCTACTTTGGAATGGAAAAAATACACAACACTGTTTGCTCTGATGTTATTAAATGGATTTTAAAAAAATCCTATTCAGATTTGCCTGACAGCATGGATGAAAGGGTACTTTATTTGATCTGTTTTTGTGTGTGTTATGATAATGCTGTTAGGGTATATCATATTTTTATTTTTTGGAAATATTCTAATAGTATCTCACAGGGAAGCTCACATTTATCCTTGCAAAATCCAGCACTGTTTAGACTCACACTCATAATTCCATTAGTATGCAGCAGGAATACTACAGGCCTAGTTATTTAAACAATACCATTAAACAGGATAAAATGTGTGGTTTCTTCAGAGGCCATTGCAGCTACAATATCTTTTTTTAATACACCTCATTTTAATTTGCTTAACAACTTCCCATGTAATTATCACAAAACAGTAGTTAATGACTTAAATCGAAGAATAGACTTTTAGCACTTTATATAAACATACATTACAGACATGAAACGCACACACACTCTTGAATGGTTTTACACTGAAAATGCTGGAAAATGACTTTTAAAACTTTTAGTATTTTACATATTCTGGGTCTCACATCTTTTGCCAGAGGGACAGATCTGAGACCACAGATAGTGAAAGTGTACGTTTATAAGGAGTCTGTTTTTCAATTCTATTCAAAACTTTAAAACAAAGAAGTAGAAGAAATATTTGTCGATGTGGCTTATCATTGGAGCATAAACAGTAGCATTTATTTTTATGGTAAAAGCAAATAATACCGTGCGCACTAAAAGAGGTCTAAAATAACATTAAAAATAATAGATGGCATGAATTTGATTTGACAACAGCTCACACTTTAGCTGAATTTATTACGCTTATATTCATGCTTTTCGTTAGGCTATAAAACGGCCAATTGAGTGTGTAAATGAACAAAATAGATACAGCTGCAGGTTTTACTGGTGCCTAACAAGTCACTCCACAGCACAATAATATTTTATGCTGGATAAGTGTTTTATTTCATTAGATTTCATTAGATTAGATGCACATCTGTTTGTTCTCCAGTCTTGAGTTTAAGACATTTGTCAAGAATCAAATGCAGTGAGATAAATTACTGTCATGATGAAGCAGTGTCAGTGCGCCTGGAAGTGCAACACTTTTCCTTATTTGGAAACTCATTAAACAAAGACAACACCCAATGTACTGTATAGCAACATATATATGCTTATATTTAAAAAAAATATATATATAACAGGTATATTAGAGAGACACTGACACCATTTGAAAAAAAATGTTTTTTCAATACAAATACAGATCAAAATCAGCCAATCACAACTCATCAGCCCCCACTTGGACAGTTTAAACCACTGTCTAAAAGTATGGATTGCATCAGAAAGCATACGCAAAACTGCGACTTGATCAAACAGTTTGTTAAAAACCAAAAAGCAACGACAACAAAAGCAGTTCAAACAACCAGAATAAAAGGTCAATTTATAAACATTTATACAAATATTTATAAAAATGTATAAAAATAGGCCAAGTTTGCAATTTGACCTATTTTTATATGCCTGCTCCTGTTTTTAAGCCAACTTCCACAAAAACTCTCTGATGACCTTGAAATGTTGCCCTCGGAAGAGTGTGGGATCAATAAGCAGCTGGATCATAATGTTGCAAACACCAGTGCTCGTGTGTGTGTGTGTGTCCGTGTGTGTGTGTGCGTGTGTGTGTGTGTGTGTGTGTAGAAATTGCTGTAAACAGAAGAACAAAGCCCAAAAGTCGAGCTCGTTTACTTCAAAGGAAATGTGTCTTACACCCTGTCGTCAATGTGAAAATTAAAGGTCTGAATCTCCCAGTTAAGATAAAAAACACGAACATGTTTAGCAGTTCCAGAATCCCCAGAGCTCATATCAACACACATTACACTTAACGCTCTCCTCCGCAGTGGCCACCCCTCCGAGCCTGCCTTTGTTTCTGTAAGTTTACGGAGCGTGGCGCAGACGCTACGTGCAGCCGTCGGTGTGCTGCATCACACCTCCTGGAGTTGCAGTGGAGAAGGGTGCCACTGTTTACAGACACATTTATTTACTCTATAACTCACCGATTTGACAACGTAGAGCAAGAAAGTCAAACTTTTCAAATCTCCGCTGGCCTGGTGACGGGGAGGAGGAAGACTTATTGTGAGGGCTTTTATTCACAGAGTGCAGACTTGTTCGCTGTGGAGCTCTTACTCTCACAGTGAGGAATTTTTTGAATCCTCCCTTCAAATATAAACTTGCCATTGCTTTACATTTCAAAGGCCTTGTGTTATTAATGAGAGGATACATTAATCAGTAACCCAAGTGCCATTATTATGTAGGCAAGCCCATTTCTTCATGGATGCATTGCAGTATGGGAGTCTCATTACGTCGAAAAAGACCCACATACTGAATTTATGGATGGATGAAATAACTGTGCAAGTGTAACTATGAAAGCTTGTTCTTAATATTATTAGTTAGTGTATTAGTTTCAGTCTGTTGATGCCTCTAAGGCTTAATAAACTCTCTTTATTCATTTTTCTTTGAAAGAGATGGAATCCAGATTCTCGGGAGTCCTGCTAATCATCTGGGATGTTTTTTTTTTCCAAAGGGCACCTTTCCTTTACATTGTAGTCTCAGTTTTCAGTTTCACCCAAAGATCCACAGCTGACATGGACATCTGCAATCCCCCCTCCGCCATCGCACAGACACACACACACACCGCCACCACAGTCATCATCATCACCAAAGCAAATGGCTAATCAGTCCTTACCCGGGATGTCAAATTTATGTCAGGGCCTAATCATATGCAGATTAATGACAGGTTAACCTAAACAGCAGAGCTGAGGTTGGCAAAAAGGTCCCAGAAAAAAAGGAAAGAAAAACACAAGCACATTTTAGAAATGCATTTGTTAATTTGTACATGCTGCAAGGTGAATGTGTGAGGTCGCCTCGGCTCCACGGTGCAGATAAGACCCAGAGCGGGCTGGACGACGCAGGCCTCGTCCACGTGCACGTTCCTCTCTCCTGGGCTTTGAGAGGGGCCGAGTGTTGGACAGCAATGACTTCCGACATAAATTACAATCAGGAGGAAGAGTCGGCTGCCAAGAATCTGCAAATTCGGAACATCCATATAATTTAATCATTAAAGGGACCCTTTGTGGTGGCACGATAACGCTCCGATGCAAGCAATGAGAGGTTGACCCCAATTTTTATCGAGCGGGTGTTTATGGAGTCAAAAGGTCCGTGCTTAGACGCAGCACAGGCTTGGGGGTCTTGGACCGAGGGG